GAAGGAAGGAAGGAAGGAAGGAAGGAAGGAAGGAAGGAAGGAAGGAAGGAAAGAAAGAAAGAAAGAAAGAAAGAAAGAAAGAAAGAAAGAAAGAAAGAAAGAAAGAAAGGAAAATAAAAAAAGAAGAAAGAAAATAACCACAAACAAACACAACAAACACGCCTGGGCCTTTATGCTCGGGGTCGTCTTAGCGTTAAGAAAAGTCCGCAGTGCCACCACAGCATCCTGCAAAAGGACCCCAGTTTATGAGGATGGGGTTCCCTAATTCACTCGGGAAATATCACCTGTGGAAGGCAGGGAAGTTCTCAGAGCAGAAGGCACAGCCTCTGCACCCTTCTACTCAGAGGCCAGGCCTGTGGCTCTTGGGCTCTGTCACAATATGGCCCTCCAGGCATTGATCCTGCAGCTTCTGGGTTCAGAAGTGAGTCTGTCTTCATCCCAGAAGACCTCTAGGCCTTGGACAGACAAGCCTGTAGGACTGTCTGCCCAGAGCCCAGCCTTTCCTGTCTCTAAAGCCCCAGCCGGAATGCTCAGGGTGAGCTTGGGGAACCTGTCAGTTGCTGCCTAGCAGCAGGAACACCTGAGCCCTAGGAAAATGAATCTCCTAGGGAGAGTCCTGAGCTTGGGGAATTTAGGGTGCAGGATCACAGGGGCTTTGAGGCTGCAGGCCCGAGTGGGACATAGAACTGCAGGCACGGGGCCAGAACCTGGAGGATCCCTTTCACTCGGGAAGCTAGCCAGGGCTACACAGTAAGACCCTGTCTCAAAAACAAATAAACCAGGAGAGAATTACGGAAGCTAGCTATGTCTCATTCACACTTCCTGCCACTTAAAACATGGAGAGGTGACTTTACAATCTGTCACAGACACTGGAGTCCTAATTTAGCTTACCATGCATAAACACGCCTACCAAATCAATACACACTGCAATAAACACAGCTGATTCTCCTCTTCCTAGGTTTGTGTTACACGACATAAAAATGTAAACGTGAAGTCAGCTCCCGCTTGGCACATGGGTGATTCAATCAGCGAAACAAACTGACCTACGAGCTTCCTTTTAAATGATCCAGGGTGGTTGGCTGAAACCCTTAGTCTAATTGCCACATGGACCCCCAGGAGAAACCCTTCTTGTAGCAGTACAGGGACACGTTGGTTCACGTGGGCCTCATCTGCAGCAGTGCCAGGAGGAGAAAGCAACAAAGAGAAGGCCACTCTAAGGGCATTACCTTGGTCCCGTGGTAGAAGTCGTCCACACATGTGGCGTTCATGAAGGTCTGGTGGAAGTGGGTGCTGGTGTCGATGCCCCCAGGGAGCACCAGTTTCCCGGTGGCGTCGATCACCTTGGCCCCACCAGGGATCATGAGCTCACGGCCCACCTGCTGGATGATGCCGTTCTCGATGTAGACGTCTGCCTCGTGGGTGCAGTCATCATTCACCACCTTGCCTCCCTTGATGAGAATTCGCACACTGGCCGAATTGGCAAGCATGTTCCTGGGGAAGGTACAGGGGGGAATCTGGTTAAGGTTACTTCATCTACTGACAGCTCAGTCACTAAAGCCCCCGGCCCCTTCCTCTCGGAGTTCAACGCCACAGGCAGAGTGAATAGGGAGGGATAGCCTGTGAAAACTGGTCCTCTAGGAAGCTTTAATCATAAGCCTTTCCATCATGACACAATGGCATTAATAGAGAAGCTGGGTGCGGGAAGGGGGAGACTGGGACCCACAGAAACACCACTTTTAGGTGTGTACAAGTACACATGAATGTGTGAAAAAAAAAAAAACACAAAAACATGTGGAGGTCAGAGGCCAACCTTGGATGCTATTCTTCAGGTGTTGTGCATGGCGTTTCTTTCCTTTTTAAAAAAAATTAGGTTTATTTATTTTATGTGTATGAATGTTTTGTCTGCATATATGTATGTGTACCGTGTGTGTGCCTGGTGTCCAAGAAGGTCAGAAGAGGGTTGTAGTACCTTGTGAGATTTGAGTTAAGGATGGTGGTGAGCCACAGTATGGGTGTTGGGAATAAAAACCTGGTTCTCCGGGAGGGTACCCAGTGCTTTGAACCACTGAGCCATCTCTCCAGACCCATTTACCATGTTTCTTGAGAGAGGAGCTTTCAGTGGGACCTGGAGCTTTCTGGCCAGGCTAGGCTGGCTGCTCAGCAGGACCCAGGATTCTCCCGGCTCTGTCTCCCGGCTCTGTCTCCCGGCTCTGCCTTCCGGCTCTGGGATTACCAGGATGTACCACCACACTCAGCTTCTCACATGGGTGTAGGAGACTGAGCTCAGGTCTTAATGCTTCTGCAGAAAGCTCGTTACTGACCAAGCCATCTTCCCAGCCCCATCACTTTTTACCTTTCTAAAATACAGTCTGAATTTATATAGTTCTCTGTAATCTTGGCTGGCCTTGAACTTTTGCCCCTTTCCTCCCAAATACTGGGATTACAAGTATGTAACCCTAGGCCAGCTTGCTATATGAGTTTAAAACATCTTCATGCTTACTATCTAATTTTATTTCCAAAATCTCACTGGGAGTCACATTTGACAAGCAAGAAAGCTGAAACTGCTAAGGAATTTGCGATCACCAAATAGCCAGCTCAACCAATGTGGCTTATGTGAGCAGTATCTCTCTAGCTCTCCATGGTGTAGAAGGCTCTTGGGGCATGTTTCAAAGAGCCACATCCTCCAAACCCCACAACTAACTCATGACATTCTTCATAGAGAGTCAGTAGCCTTCATGCCCTTGGATGGGGCTCAAAAGTCTATCCATGAAGCCTTTGTAATTGCCTGTAGCTTGTCAAACTGTTAAAAAAAACTCCTATCACCAAGCACCCAACCCCAGAGATTAAAAACTGGAAACCTTATTACTTTATTCTATTTTATTTTACTTTTGAGACAGGATCTTACTATGTCGCCTTGGATGGCCTGGAACTCACTCTGTAGACCAGACCTTACAGAGATTCATCTGCCCCTTCCTCCCAAGTGCTGTGATTATAGGCATGTGCCCCTACGCCTAGCTTTTAAGTCCACTTGCATACATGGTAAATGTCTTGTCCTTCAGAACCCAATTCTACTGTCCTCTCTATGAAGAAGCTTCCTCTGACTCTTCCTGTATCTTCTATACACTCAAGTGCTTTCATGGTACTGGATTCTATGCCTATCTATGGTCTGAGGCTTCACAGAGGAATCTCCTCAGTCACCTTTGACCTCACCCTTCCTCTTCCCCAGTATCTAGTAGAGGATATGTGTATTTTCCTGGTTGCTGTTGCTGTGATAATCACCATGGCCAAAAGAAACTTGGGAAGGAGTGTGCTTATTCCAGTCTACAGTCTATCACAAAGGGAGCCACGGCATGAGCTCAAGGCAGGAACCTGAAAGCAAGAACTGAAGCAGAGGCCACGGAGGAACACCAATCACTGGCTTGCTCTGTTTCCTTTTTCATACAGCTCAGGCCCACCTGCCCACGGGCAGCACCACCCACCCAAGATGGACGGACCCTCCCACATAATTAGCAATTAAGAAAATATGACACAGACACGCCTATGTGCCAACCTGACGGGAGGCAATTTCTCAGTTGAGGCTCCCTCTTTCCAAATATGTCAAGTAGCCGACTGAAACTCACTACAATATGAGAAACTAGTGTGTAAATGATGAAAGAGCTCAGCTCCTCACAGCACTCTGATAAGCAATGTGGCTTAAAGCATGAGCAGAAGCCCAGTTCCAGAAGTTTCTGGAACATCTGGCAATCTTGGACACAAGCTCATGCATCTAACACAGCAAACTATTGTAAACAGAGTGACAGAAACGACACATTCTCTCTCCTCCTTTCATTTTTCCAGCCAGCAAGCAAGATCACACCCAGGAGTTTCTTGGGGGGGGGGGGGGTCTGTGGAAGAAACATTTCTAGCAAGAAGATTCATCAGCAACCTGTAGTGTTTGGCTCGCTCTCCTGCTCAGCTGGTTAGTGCAGTGGCCTCATGTTTTTGTCATGTGTGCAAACAACCCCAAGAGAGAGTCCAGCACCTGCCAGGTGCTCCTGACTGGTGTGGGAGCTGTGGCCCCGAGGAGTGCTGGGATAGGAGGCAGGTGTCTGAGAGTGACAGCTGTGCCCTTGAACATCTGCTCCCAGCAAGGTATCCTTCTGACCCCTGGGGAGAAGGGGCCTTGCTCCCCAGTGTGGGAGACATTGGCAAACAGGCCATGGGAGGAGGCTGAAATAGGCCAGGGAAGATGGGGGCACAAGTCTGTTGTCCGAGGCTAAACCCATATCTTTTGTCCCACACACTGAAAACTGGAGTCTTAACTTTATAAGTAATAATCTTTAAAAAAAAATGGGGTTGATTCTGAGGTGATGGAAAAACTATTCTGGTCAAATCCTTTCTTTTGCCTTCTTTCCGTCTCTCTCATTACGAAGTCCAGGTGTGCTGAGGAAGGGGCAGGTCCAGTTTTTGTGACAGGATGATGGTGGTGGCAGGACTGAGGGGAGGAGGTGCAAATACATAACCCCTGCCTTTCCATGCAACTCTCAGGCTCACACATACCAGGACACTGCCACATACTGTATTCATGTTTTAAAAGGAAATACTGATTTGCCTCAGTGATCAGTACGTATGCACAGGGCGGGAAACCAGGAAGTATGAGGCAGGAATAACTTACAGGGGATTCTGCTCTGAGCTCTGCCACCGGAATCAAAAACCAAGGGCACTGTCTTTGGTGAAAATACTAGCAGAGATTGTCAGAACATTAACATCCTGGGCCCAGCACTTTCTGTGCAACCCTGCAAGGAGTGAATATGGCAGGAAGTGTTAGCCTCAGTTGAACAGGAGGAAACAGAAGTTTGGAAGCTCGGGCAATGGGGGTGAAAGGTCCCACACTCCAGGGGAAGGGATAGATTCAGGATGGGCAAGGTGAAGGGAAGTTAGTCCTGGGAACTCAGCCCAGTGATTGCTATATTCTCCCTAGGTCCAGCATTTTCAAAATGTTATTCAATAAACTTGTATTACTTTTACAATAAGTACATTCATATGTTTGCTTGGCTTTTCTTGTTGTTTTTGAGACGGGGCCTCTCTGCATAGCTCTGGCTAAACTGGAACTTCCTATGTAGACCAGACTAGCCTTGAACTCTCAGAAATCTATTTGCTCCTCTCTCCCAGAGTGCTAAGACTAAAGGCTTGAACCGATGTGCCCAATGATTTTTGAAAGCTTTTTGGTCCCCTTGTCTAAAGAGAAGCCAGGAGGAATACAAGCTGATCCTAGCACTCAGGAGGCAGAGCCAGGCAGCTCTCTGTGAGTTCGAGGCCAGCCTAGTCTACAGCGTGAATTCCAGAACAGCCAGGGCTACATAGTGAAACCCTGTCTTGAAAAACCAGAAAACAAAAACAAACAAACAAAAAAAGGTTTTTTTTTCCTACTTCCCTGTTGAAAATCCCTGAGGGCAAATATGGCCCTTAGATTAGTAGGGAACCCTACGCAATGGGGTCTCATTGCCATAGGACTGGGCCAGTCTTGGGTAGCTGGACTTAGAACCACTCAAGGGGGAACTCCCTCACTCATTACTTATCCGTGGGAGGAGGGAGCTACGATGGACACATACTGTGCGCATACTGTCAAGATCTGCACACAGACCACGTGATGGCCTTGCCATTTCCCTAGGCCTGAGGCATTGTCCTTGACATGACCATCCTGGTGTCAACAATGCACATCTCCTCAGGATTTCATCCGCTCCCCATGTCTCCCCACCCTCAACTGTATATGCCGAAGCCCTAACCCAGGAGCAGATGGCTGTTTCTGGAGATGAGTCTTTAAAGTTAAATGAGGCTATAAATAAGATGGAACCCTGACCTGGTGGGGTTGGTGCCCTTGTTAAGAGAACAAATGGTCTTGTTTTTCTTTTTCTTTCTAAGAATGTTGAAAAATAAAAATGGAAAGCCATCTGAGAACACAGGGAGAAGGTGGCCACTTTCCAGCTAGGGCAGGGCCTCCCCAAACCCCAGACTTCCAGCCTCAGAACCAGAGGCGAGTTAAGTTTTCAAGCGTTTACTCCACCTGGCCTGTGGCTATTTGTTATAGCAACCTTGCCATACAAATACGAATGCACACATTCTTAGCCTTAAGCTGTGCTACCAACATGGAAGTAGGTTGTTTTAGCTCCCAGGCTGCAGCTGCTCAGCAGAGCCACTTCAGGATAAACCAAAGACTAGCCTTGATGCAGAATGTTGGTGCCACACACACACCATCCTGACTTCTGGTTCTAGTTACAGGAGGCACAGCGGACTGTCATCACCTGTGGGGGCTAAGCCTTTGAAGATGACCATGGCTTTGGGACACCCTCAACCTGCCTTGCCTTGTAGATAATACTGAAGCAAGGTTGTTGAGCACATTCCCTGCTCATACGTTTGGAGATTATTTCTTTAAAAGCCACACTGCAACTAACAGCTTGCAACTTCACTCCTCTTTACTGGACAAAATTGTGGGAAAGAGCCAGGCCCTGCTC